TTGAATGTTATATGTAGATTTGCATGTATAATCGTGCGAACATATTTACTGTATGTATGTGTGTGCCTACATTTGTTCATAGATGGGTGTGTGTGTGTGTGTGTGTGTGTGTACATATGTGTGCATGTGTTTATTTTTGTGTGTGTGTGTACGCGTATTTATCTGTGTATGTGTGTTTGTTTGTGCTCGAAAACAACGAATCAGAAACAGTACAGCAATAACAAACAACTTGCTTTGCCTCACTGACCCTTTTGCGTCTGTTATTCTTTAATCTGTGCAAATCGCGTTGCTTATAGCTTGTTCGATCGAAGCAGAAGCGTGGAACTTCGAAATTACTAATGTAGACCCACCATACATGTTTTTGTGTGTTTTTCTGAGAATTGCCCGAGCGGCAAACGTTAAAACCCTTCCGTATTCACTTTGTATGAATTTTCGTGGCAGACTCGTTCTCATGATTCAAAATTTCAGTAAACTATAAAATAAAACGAGCAAACGACCACTCAAGGGTTTCCTACAAGATGACGCACATGCATCGAACAGGCGGTAGATACTAACTGAAGATATACAGTCCAAAATCGAAGAACCTGGCGTAGCTGAGCCCAGCGCACAGGGGCATTCCAGTAACATCACTAACATGGTATACCCCCACATCGATTGTCCTAGTGGTTTTGGTATTCTTGGTGTTATAATATAAACGCTCACTCTGCAACCAGTCGCTGTCCAAGCAGGATTGTTTTTCCAGATTCGGGGGTACGGTTGATTTTGAACTGACATCTTTGCATAGCTGAAAATCATTTCGTCACTTTTCTGTATATTAGCTAGCAGTTATTTAAAGTGTGGAATTTACTCGGTATTCCTGGGATGATATTTTCTTTTTAGAAAAAGAATATACCTTTACTGGATCGCAAACATAAAAAATGCGTGTGGTGTTCCGAACTGTTTCATATGGGCACTTATTTGTATAATTTTCACATCCTGAAAAAAGCATTTATTCGTGGATTTAGAAATGGAAATGGAAAAGTTTAGGAGTGATGCCCTGATGATCATCAGGATAGTCTTGGACAACAGCCTGAAGTCTTTGATGTTCACTAAGCGGCTATTTTTTGATTTCACCAATGTGACAGCTAATCTCTCTGCGATTCGTTCACTTGTTTCGATTGGTACTGGCAGTTGGCAGGGTATTAGTTCTACCATCAGCTTGCTACGAACTACTACCAACTGCATGGGTGGCAAGAAGGAATGCAACGATGAAATAACAGATTTGGCGTAGAAAAGAAGTCTTGCAATAGTACCAGACCCTTTGTGTATAAATTTTTTTCGAATATTTATGAAACAAACCAGCAACTTTATTCGTGATCGTTTCAAGAACTTTCGAATTGAATCTATGGAAGCGAAACTGAAATTTTGAAAATGAATCGTGCAGTCGTATAATTGGGATAAAGGTTGATATAATTCAGCTAAAGGAGTTTTGGTTGAATGATGTGGAATTGCACCAAAGAACAAAATAAGTTGTAAGAGTAAAACCTAAGGTAGTGCGGCAAATTTTGGCGGCATTGCATCCCACATTCAGGATACAAATTATTATTTTGCAGCAA